CTCTTCAACGTTACGACAAGTTCACGCGCTGCTGAAGCACTGTAACATACAACTACGACGTGAACCACCTAAAAATGAGCATATAAGTGCACAACTAATATTGGCAGTAAACTAAAAAATAATCAACAACGATGCTCATATAAACTAGGCATCGCGAATCGGTTCATAATCGAAGTTTTGTGATAATTATGACGGAAGGTTAAAGAGAAGGTCGCATGTTTACAAATGTACGATTAAAACAGTACCTCGCAGCTGCCGTTCGAATTCTTTTCCACTTTGGCGTGGTTCAGCCATTGTTTCAAAGAAAATTCCTTTTCACCAGGGTGAAATTTGTACTTAAACGGAATACCTAAACAAAAAGCATGATAAGCTCGACATAACACATACGTCCATGAAAAGAATGAAATTTTTTCCATTCATCAGTCACATTAGTTTGGTTGCGAACTGCTGATTCATCTACTCAGAAATCTCATAAAGCATAGTCTGTACGTCAAGCAAAAGCAATGGCATCAGCCCCTTCCTATTCGATCCTTTCGCAGTCGAATCAGTAAGCATACAAGCTAAATCAAGATTAAATTGATATCAGCATGGTTTCATATCACAACCTGTCGGATCAATACGTTGGGAGGAATTTCCCGTCATCAGACTTTACCTACATTATTTGACATCTAAATCGACAGCGGAACTTATAGACCTAATGATGAGACCTGCATATGTATCCGTCAGAATCAAACATCCACTTCATCCAATGAACCGAGATTAGAGCATGAAAAAAGGTAAAGAAGTCAATAACGGTGGCATCCATTCAATATCGTACATTATGTGAAATTTGACAACAGCATGAATCGGTAACTATGTAATTATGGTCACACCACAATCATCAACAAATACATTTGCATAAGGAAGGGATATGGTAAGCAAAATACGAAGAAACGCATGCAAGCCAGAACATACAAGCAACAATGAAAAAATGCCGCATTGTTTCATGAATTCTCCATATTTTGAACAGCATTAAATAGACGGGACAAACGTTAACCAGGAGGAACAAAAGGGAGGTAGATCTGATTTTTGGGAGCAGTATTTCCTTCTGCGATACAGTGACAGATGACCTATAATATACATGTTGGAAAGCTACGGGAACAGAGAACATCATAAACCAGAAACGTCCTGTTTATCCAAATGGTTAAAGGTGATGATCACAACAAACAACAAGGTGAAACAATATAAAAGGACAAAGTAAAGGATAGACCTGATTCTGTTGATTAAAAGAAAGATGACGCTTCTAAGAGAAACAGAACTTTCAGATAAACTGCAAAATCATTTACCTATCAGAACGTTTAACATGAGAATCCACCACAATGAGACAACAATGACAGCTACCAGGTATTTCCTACGGGCAGCCATTTTATTACACCACTAGGACTTGCGGTCAGGTTTTATGATGAATCACGGCCTTTCCAATCTTCATCGAAAAATTTCCTAAAAATAGTGTTATCCGCTGATGGCAACAATTTTTCTACAGAACGCATAATGATAAAATTAATCTGCGAATTATGAAAACATTTTATATTTGAGATGATCAACTTTATAAGGAGGCGGATTGCCCTGATAGAATTTACAAGCATTAATGTCAATGCCAGTGGTCGTTAGTTACAAATGCACTGCACCACAAATGAGATGACGGTTTTGTTAACACTAAAGTGAACAGAAATCCTCATTCAACTGCTGCAATAGCAGTGAAGCAGTATCATGAAAGGTGATATCATTGATCAACAAGAAGTTAATGCATGTATGATAACAACTGCATCTGGTTCTGTCGTCTGTCTCACACAGACAAAGCAACTCCATGACAGGTTA